AAATTTGTTATCAGCACCCCCATGAATTATATCCCATTTACAAATCAATGAAACATCTTCATGATGGTACTGCTAACAAATTTCTTAATTTGGTGGTAACCTTTAATTGAAGTGTAAACATTTTGATTAGGTAAATGTGAAATGTGGCCAAATCGTGGACAAACGAATACTGTTTGATTCTTACAAAAAAAAATCTGCGCTTGGGAATATCAACTTCACAGACCTAAGGAATATCTTTAAACGGCCTGATGACACCAAAGACCATTTCAAGAGATCGATAGAGGATCGTCTCATGGAAACCATACATACATATATATAGAAGATCGCACATACGCAGAAGGCAATAGGTTGAAAGTAAAGTGGGGCCGATGTCACGCTATTAATTGGTTTACTCCGCAATGTGTCATCTCTGTAATTAATGCCCCGAAGGGCCAACAAAGGCGCGTTTCTGTCTTAATACGATGAGTCACGTGCCGAATGCCGAACACATTGTGTGACGCTACGTGGAAGCTTCGTGACGCTACGAGCTTCGTGATACTACGAACTTCGCAAATTCCAAAAAGCTAGGCTTCAATTTCTTCGAAAGGTCATGACAAGAAGTTCATTCTGACGGAGAAATTGACAAGCTGTTAAATAACTTTTTGAAACTTTTACAGTAACTCTGTGATAAGAATTTAATCACCTTTTTCGAGGAACTCGTTTAGAAGTATTTAATTTTACAATTTTCTAAATTTGCAGATTATGGAAAGCAACGATTATCGAATTGAAGATGTTAAATCTGTGAAACTTAGTAGCGATGTAAAGAAAGTTTCAAGTAAACAATATTAAGTAACTAGTAACGGTATAAACAACTAATTCACAATTTCGTTAGTCAATTAATTCACATTTCTTTTTGTCAATTCATTCAAAATGCCAATTTCATTTAAAAACGCTTTTAACCTGAGTTTTTTGAAACTTCAAACACGCTTTGATCTTTCACAATGGCCTGACTATTTCTACCAAAATTCCTATAGTATTACTACTATACTACTGCAACAAGGGGGAAGAATACGCTGGCACTCCGGCTCTTCTGAGCCACTGGACCCGGTAATTAAGTAACACACTGAACTTTGGGAAAATTGAGATAAGACTTTAATTAAAAACTGTGAACATAAAAAAGAAGAAATATATATAAACAGGAAACAGTCTATTGCAAAGATTGATTAAACAAATCAAATAGTTTTGGCAAAAAAGAGATACAAATTCTGAATGAGATAACTTTACACTGAACTGAGCATCGAGGAAAGTTGAAACAATCTCGATAATATCGACAATAATGTAATTCATTAACTAAAGTTTCAAAACTAAAAGGGAGAGATGAAAGAGACAAAATTCAATCTCAAAAGGAAGAATTGAGAAACATATCGTCAATCGAGGACATTGTCGCGTTAAAACGCAGGGACGCATATTTCAAAATCGATGATGAACAGCAATATTCAATTAACACAGGTATATGACGTTTACAATTAATTTCACATCTTTGATAATTATTTCTTTTCAGCAACGCGTCGCTTCTGCTGCTGCACGGGATGATAATGTTTATCCAAGAAAATGCCGAGAATGGTCAGAGTTCCTCACGCTGTCTCTGTTATTCCAAATTTCCACAAAAATATCCTGAAACATTATCCTTGCATAACATAGGTGTAATATGCCCGAGAGTTGTAATAACAAAAGTCATTAACATTTCATCCGTGATGGTATAGTGTTCTTAATAACGAGAGTACAAAAACAACGAATTTGCAAGTTTTCCCTATACAAAAATTTAACAATGTTGAAAGATCAAAGGAGCTTTTAAAAATGTGGGAAATACACTTGAAATTAAAGTATTTCGATATTTCATATAATGCAACTATAATTATCCATAAAATAAAATTATATCCATGTTAAAAAAATTACATCTAAAGCCAAACCACGCCAGTCACTGAATTTTCAGTTCCAAAGTCTTGAAGTTAAAATGTTAAATAGCAAACCTGAATAGTTACAGTAATTTTAAGTTAAGGCAATCGAATTAGAAAAATCAAATAATTAAATTTTTCAATGGATCTCCCGATTCGACGAATCAAGCATATGCAGAAACAATGTAGCATGGCCACGCTATTCAAACTACCTTTAATCATGATAATGTGTCTGACTATACATTAGGTCGTTCTACTACCAGGCTTGAGAATAAGCTAGAAATTCAACGCATATGCCTCCTAATCAACCATCAAAGCTAATAAACTTCCATATACCAAATTATCTGCTTCCAGTCATATACTTCAACAATCAACGAAAACCATGATAAACGTTTCTGCTCCATATGCAGACACGGCACCAAAAGAACGTAACAGAATTGTTGTAAAAAAATATTTTTCTTCTGACATAAGCCAAGGTTTATATGTATAACGTAGTAATCCACACGTGAATGTCCACAATTAAAGAAAAATGAATGTATAAAAATATCATTTAAAAGGTCTCAGCGTAGAGAACTTCTGAATGCAATGACTATGCAGCGTGGAAATTCTAAAACTTCTCCTTTGTACTTTTAGGCACTTATTTCCAAACATATACAAAATTTATTAAGTAGTATTTTTTAAATAACCATTACCGGAAAACTGTATAATCTTTTTTAAATTAATCAAAATTTACAATTTCTACGGATGTATTCAGAACACATTTTATGGATCTATGCAGAAAATGCAGATAAAGATATTAAAATTTCCGATGATGGATATTTAAAGGATACTATTTAACAAACTTTTTACAAATTCCATAATGAGTGTTTAAGAAATATAAGAGAGAAATTTCAAAATTTCCACATTATATATTTTATATATCTTCATTTTATAGAGAATACAAATGGAAAATTTTACGAATTCTATGATTTGTGTTCAGAAAATACAATTAAAAAATTGTTAATCTCTATTGCGAGAAAAATTGTGAAATCTCCATAAAAAATACAAATGAAAAATATTACAAACTTTTAAGTAAGAGGTAAACCTTTCAAGACAATATCGAAGAATTCTGCAAATTACTGACACAATGTTGTAGGTATCACAAAAAGTCCTAAGATCTTAATGTACATGAGTGAGAAAACAAAATGAGAGAGAGCTGTATCTTAAAAGTGTTCGTTACTCCTTATTCCTTCCTCTGTAATAATCTTCAAGAAAGCTCATTTATAAAGCCGATGTGCTGCATTACAGACATCGCACAGCTCGCTACTCTTTCTCTCAAGGGTAACTTTAATTAAATTCCCTATGTGACACATTTTTAATACGTAAATGTTGGATTTATTATGAAAATACATAAAATAGTTGAAATATTTACGCCTGGAGGATTAGATCAAACACCCTGACTAATTAATTACTTAATTATAACAGTATGAAACTATTAGACGCTTGTTTCAGTGTCTCGCTAGAAGTATTATCTTCTGTTAATTAAATTAAATTTGCTTTATTAAACTTTATAGAACATCTAGGAATATTCTATCACAAAATCAAATTTTCGAACGTGACGTGGAAAATTTAAGTCAGAGCTAATTTTCACTTGATAGAAGATAGAACAATTGGAGATAGAAAACGAATATGAATGAAAAATATTATCAAAATATCTTCCTTCCTTCAATACTATTATGTATAAGGAACTGATAATTTAAACGATAATTCCTCTTCCTCTCTCTCTCTCTCTTCTCTTCTCTTTTTCTCATTAGTTCTTTATCGGTAAATCTACACATCGATGAACAGAAACCGCTTAATTTTACCGAACGTAACTAGAAAACATTTTCTAATTTTTCCTTCGTTCTTCTATCTTATCAGATTACAAGGGAAACAGTAAAAATTCCAGGCAACGTTTATCAACAGCACTCTTGTTTACTACAAAATCTTGCTTCTCTAAAATCAAAGAATAATTAATGGCCTTAGCCAGGAATTTATTTGATTTAAAGAAACTAGGCGCATCAAACATTTTCCTACTTTTTCCTCGACTTTATATTTCATCCAACTTCAAGAAAAATAACAGCAATAAGACCTGGTAGATACGTTTATCAACAACGCTCTTCCTTGAGCCAAAAATCTGTTTCAAGTACACGGATTGCTATCGGATCGAACGACCAAGTGGAGCAATATGGTATTAACACCTGGCGTCTAGTTAATTAAAACTCACTTTACTAATGTTTTCCTGGGACGATTAGAAACACCAGAAACGGATTCTGGAGTTTATTTATAAAAGCATCAACTGCTCAACAGGCGATCCAAAGAGCCGTCGTTTATGATAGTATTTATCTAGCAGCATGGATTCGAGAACATTAAACTCGTCTCGAGCTCCGCGAATTTCCACCGACGACCTTAATAAATGCCGCTTATGTGTTCACTCGCCAGATTCCGTACTTTTTTCTTCTGTTTCTTCTCTTTCACATTTTTTCTTTTTTTTCTTCTTTTTTTTTTTTTAAGAACATAAAATGCGAAGGAAGTCAGCTTCAAGGAAACATAATTGCCATGAATATTTTTTGGCACATATTTTCATCTAACCAGCCACCTTAGAAATTTATTTGAACTTTGAAGTTTAATAATCAACTGCTCTCATACCTTAGGCATTAAAAACCTACAAATAATTTTTCTATTCAATGTTTTAAAACCGTAGCAGCACTATTTGGAGAGTATCGAATAGAAAGTTATCAGAAATTTTTTAATATTCCTCTTGCTCTGAACTCTTTCGGGATGCACTTTATTTCTGAGAAACTTTACGCAAATAAATATTGCAGCGGCGGTGCTGAAAAACTGCCACAGCCCCTGACTCCTTTTTACAAAAATATTAAATATTCTACACGCGTTATTCTAAAGCTTTGGCAAGTGTTTAATCAATAACTACAATTACATAATGATTTGATAAAAATATTTTGCACACCTCTGTATTTCTATTCAATATTAAAAAATTGCACTCATTCTACAGAAGGCGTTATACAAATTTTAAATATTGTCACTCACCGGAAGCTGCTCGGCGAAATGCAAAAGAAGCTGGCAAAAGATGTGTAAACACTCCTTCGATGGATCCAAAATTGATCAGAATCGTTGTTTCATTCCACATAGAAGTTCTGGAGAGATACTTCGATAATCCTCAAAAGCGTTCTCCTATGTCACAAAATGCAAAAGTGGTGGAAATCTTCATGAAGAAAGTTCAAAGCACCATCCCTGATTCCCATTATTAGTAACCCCAACCAAAGATTTATCCGCCCATAAATGACAATAATCTCTTCTTCTCTCTAACTGGATCTTCCTTTTAAGATTCTTTTGGTGAAGAGGTAACTGTTCCTTGGATAGATTGGATGATCGACTGTCTCTGACGACGCACTAACACGTCTGACGCTGGGCGCCGTTTAAGCGCGACTGTCTTCTTCTGGTGCTCTATATCGTCGAATCTTACGCATGTGCGATTTCCGATTTGCTCTCTCTCTTTCTCTCTCTCTCTCTCTCTTTCCACGCGAGCTATACGTTCTTGTCACAACAATACTCGGGCATAGTTATTTCCTCGTCGCTCTGAAGCTCCGCCAACTGTTGCTTTTCGTTGACTCCGGTCACGAGGTGAAAAATAGAAGAGCACACTGCTGTCCTGACAGAGAAATACTATTTCCTGCAAACTGAATTGATGGCGAAACTGAAGGGATGCTTCGGGCGGGGTTTTTAAGCCTGGAAAAGAAATTAAAATATAATGAAATTTAAGTTGAAATACAAGGTCAATAATTTCACAGTGGACGAAAAATAGAAAAGAATTATCGTTAATCAAAAACCGAATGAACAAGTAAATTTAATATTTCACTGGACGTTACCGCGAGCTACAAGGAAAAACTAGTTTTCAAATTTTGGCAACAAGATCGCTACCACAAATTAAAGAGTAACACAGGTCGGTTTTGGAAGAGGATTTTGGAGTTTCGATTCTAGTTTAGACCATCTATTACTCATCAAAGAACCATTCTAAACGTCCATCAAACTTCACGGCGGTGAAACTTTGTTTAACTGTCAATCATGAATTTGCTAAATTAATTATTAAATTATTAAATTGTTAAATACATTATTCGTTGTACGTTTTCTCTATGAACTAATTAACCGATTCAATTCTAATTATGTGAAATAAATTTCTATAATTGATATATATGTAGCCGAAACAATAGCAATCAAGTGAATGTCTGCAGTCTTATTCATCTGAAGGCACATATGAAATATTTCACCCTGTTAGAGAACTGACAAAGCAAAGTAGGAGAACAGATTACTCTTCAAGAGCCATTCATAAGAAAAAATACAATGTATCAGATAGTCTACAATATACATTTCGTACCTTGCTTCCTTGGGAGAATTTCTACTTGTAATTGCAAATTGAAAACGTCAATTTCTAACTAGAAGATGATATAATTGATAAAAATGGAGGAAACAGATGTACAAATAAGAATTCTAATTTTGGAGTTAATCGATATTGATCATTGAGATAGAAGGGTGAAAAGGGGTCAAAAAGAATTATCTTCCAAACGGGTCACTCAAAATATGAAAGAGATGGAGCACGTGCAAGTATTTGGTGATCGACGATAACGATATTGTAAAATAGCGTCGATAACGATGATAATGGACTCGCCGCGACTCGATCGCAATCTATTGTTAGCTAAAGCTTGGGCCGCTTTTATAGTTGGGGATGTTCAAGAACTAATCCAATATTTTGTATTTACAGTAAAATCAGACAAGAGAAGAAGTGAAACTGACAGGAATTATTTCGCGTTCGATCTTACTGAAATTCATGTAAATAAAGAGCGATAAGACAATAGAAATTTTCCTCTTTATTGGAATGTTTCTAGAAACACGAATGATTCAATCTCTGAAAACATTCTAATTAATAAATTTGTCAAATCTAAAGTAACAGATGTAGAACAATCTTCTTTTTTTATTTGATTGAAAACATTGTTCTAATGAATAAAGGGAATGTGATGAGATTTGCCAGGACTGTGATTAAAGTACTAAATATTGTAATTACGAAACAGAAAAATTGTTATATAAATTATAAAATTATTGAAGTAATAAGTATTGAATTTTCATCGGTTCATAATTCTGGAATTTTCTGAGAAGAATATTCTGCTGTTTCTCTAATAAGTTACAAAGTGGACTATTTAATCAAGTCACTATGTCTACATGTTTATTCCCATTGTTCAATTAAGAAACAAACAGAATTGTCTTTGTTTAAGAGCAAAACGATAAAGGGAATATCAAATAGTGTTCGACTACATAGTATGCTACATGCGTCGCTTGATTTTTCTTCCTATCATAGGAGGAATAGAAAAACGCCTCTCAAATTGACAAAAGCAATTCATCATCAATCTCTTTCAGCATGACTATCAATATTCTAAACCATCGCATTTCAGTAATCGCTGTACAATCAACGTTCATAATAATCCATAAATTATCAAGCGTAGAAGCGTCTACTGTTATCGGTGTGGATTAAGAAGCAATTAACAATTATCGTGAAAATTTTCTTATCATACAACGAGATATAAATGGAAAGATAGGAAAAAGGAAAGAAAAATTATAATAAAAAATTCTTCGTTTAAAGTTCGAAGTACCTTCAGAATGTTTTCCTTTCTTCAAGAATGTATCACACGTTAATTAATCCGGGAAAATTATACCAACGAGCCGATAACTTTTTAATAAGCCGATAAGCAAATCTGGTTATTGGCCTATCGTTAATCTTAACGCGGCTAGTTATCATTAGCATCGATTATGAATGACTAGCCATTTACTTGATTATCATCGAATTACTTGCAATTGCGCAGTTCTTCTATCTTCCATCTTGATTTTTGATGTTGATGTTTTACGATCTCCCTGTTAAAAATTGACTAATTAGTTATGGTATTTGGAAAATTAATGAATAATATTTAGAAAAATCAATTAGTTGTGTTAACTTGAGTATATTTGACGATCGACGCGCTTCAAAATATATTTTTCTTAATAACTCAAGTTACTTTTATCAACATAAACTAAAGTTATATTATTTTAAACTACGTTAATTTTTATTATTTGCGATACATATAATATGTATACACTATATACAATGTATATATATATATATATATATATGAACAATGTATTCTAAGCTACTAGAAGGTAATACGTATACACTACTACATTAGGAGTACCAAAAGAGTTCAAATTACTATATTACATTATTATCATAACAATAATTAGTTATGACAGAATTAATGACTTAGATAGGTAATAAATGATACGAGCAGATAATTAAACAAGATTTGACTCAAGGACCAGTCACTTTCACACTCTATGCTGAGAAATTAAGAATGCCACTCTCGGCTGGCACGTGAATCAATGAATTAAGCATGAAGTGTAGCAATTTTGTCCCTCGACGCAAATTCATTGAATCTGAGTGGAAAACTAGTGTCTCGTTTTACATTTGTATTGTTGTTGGTAACCTTTGATCCTTTAAAGGGCTTTGAATTTTTTTAAAATATTCTTCAATACCCAGTTTATCCTCATGTTTCCTTCGCAACACCACATTAGAAATACTTTTCTACTTTTTTACTTTTATAGTTTGTGAATGATAAAAACATTAAACGTTCGATAAGATGTGGTGTGTAATATTCAGAAAGTGTATGGAATATTTGAAGGACTGGTGAAAGTGGCTAGAATACAAGAAAAGAGGCGAAAAGAGATACTACTCTGTATATATGTAATAAGAACTTGTATATTTCCCATATAGTGAAGTACAATTTTAAGAACATGTTGGAAAATTCAGAACAACGTTATAACAGCACTACTAAAAAACTTAGACAAGTTTCTACAACAAACTACAAGATTAAAGAACCACACTCTACTTACCACTAAATATCTCCAAAATTGTAAGAAATACAGACAAGATTTACTTCAAAAAAGCATACTTAAAGAAACATCAACGTTTGTACTGCCTTAAGAAATTCTATTTTTATATAACAAAATTTTCATATCTAAAATCATTTTTTAAAGAACCTACTTTATGATGCTCATAATTTATAAACAATTTATTAAACAAATACTCCCAACGACTATTTTATTGAAGTGTAATTTTTCAAAATGTAATTATTGACAAATTTTGTAAGATCTTTCAAAGGAGGAAAAGATCTTTTAAAAAGAATACAACAAATGACTATCTTTGACTTCAAATTAAAAACATACTAAATTGAATTCTATAAATAGTTAAATATATAATTACATATATAGTTAAATATCGTTGATATTATTTTTTAAACTTTTTACAAATGATAGAATTCATTAGAAATATATTTAGACCGCAATAATATGCGTAAATTCTCGGATTTCGTTATTGCCCAACACACTAATTATGTCCTTCAGGGTGATTTGATGGACGGTCTCGTTAATTTTGCTACCTACATAACTCTGGATACCTGGAAGTATGTCCGGCTTGATAACTTCTATGACCTTTGGTGTTAACTCCTTAAAGACCTACGGATAAATGCATGCAAATTCAATTTCACGGCCCTTCTGCCCTACCAATTTGTTACATTCGAACATTGAAGTTAAATAAATAATTATATCACCTTGAATCTTCTGCTTCAACAACTTTTTCAACAAAACAAATATTACAACAATAAAAATTCGTAAGAAACATCGAAGTAAATAAAAATTGATAAGATTTTTACTACAAATTATTTGTATCCTGATCTTTTTTTTCTTTTCTTCAAACCATGGTACAGAAGATAAGTACTAAAATGTACTGTTTTCTAATTAATTCAATCTATCAGAGATCTAAAATCACTTTTCTGCTTGATCATCTTCTTCACACAGTGAATATAATAATAATAAAAATTATTGTGAATTATTGAAATATAAAATTAGCAAAGTTGGTTACAAATTATTTATATCTTAGTCTTTTTCTCTTTTATCTTCAGTAGATGTTGCATAAGCTATATACTCAAATTCGAGTTTATTTCTAATTCAATCCGCTAAAGCTCCTAAGTTACAAATCAACCACTAACTATTGGTAATTTGATAAAGTGATCCCACCTTGTTCATGACGTCGGACAATTCATCATCATCCATGAAATTTCCCAAATTGATATCGATGGATCTCAATGAAAAGTCCATGTCAAAGGTCTTCAAGTACACTCCTTTGTGAAATCCCAATAAACTGTTCACATACAGTTGGAAATCATATATATTCGCTTTGAAAGACCCAGCACCTTTCAAATCGACTGTGTTCCCCAGGACTCCGGATATATTGTAAAGGCCTTCCGCGTATATTTCCGGAATAGAAATATTCGCCGCAAACGTTGGTCCGATCAAGGATAGTTTCGCCTTGTTGATCACGAAGGTCGACAAATTGTATAGCACGATATCCTCCAAAACGATGGATATGCTGAAAAATTCAATACAATGTTAGCCACTAATTTGAACAGATAGCGTGAGAATAGGTATTATATAAAAAGTTATTTTTCCTCTCATACAGGATGTTCCTTTTTATCTTGCTTTGGAAATATTCCTAACAATAAGCAGACGTAAAAAAAATGTTCAATATCTATGTATGTATTTATTTATTGCAGTCTGATGGCCGAGAAATTGGACTTGGTATTCCAAAACGAGTTCAACATAAAAATTACATTTTTTGAGCACTTAGAAGCTTGAAATAGTTTGAACACGCGGTATTTGAGTACGTAAGACTCGCGTAAGTCAAGTTCGGCTGATTTTTCACACATTTGCATAAAACTCTCCGGCAAACGTGACTTCCTAGTCTCAACTTTCTCTGTATGAAGAATTCCTAAACTTATCTGCCATATAATCTCAGGTTCTTACAAACTTCAGAAGTCTGACAGAGCCATGAAGTCGTCCATTAGCGAACATACCAGCAACTTCCGGGAAGTTCGTCGACTTCTTCCAATACCGGAAATGTGACAGAAAATCATTTGATATTCAAAGTACATCGGGCTAAAGCAGAGATGGTGGTTTAGGAATTCTTCAGGACCTTCAACGTGACCAAAGACTTAATCAATCCTCTAACTTACTTCCCTATGTCCGAATTGTCTACATGTATATCCAATTCATCAAGACGATACGGTTCCAAAGGTGGGATTCCAAGTTCTGGTATCCCATAGGGCATTCTGCTACGAAGTTTGTCTATGAACCTTCGAATTTTCAACTCCAGACCCTTCGAGGCTGCACTGTCAACTGTCCTTTGCTCAATTAGTGTCGATTGCAGTAATTACATACACTGGCTCACGAAAGCATTCAAACTTTTCGTGAATACACTATGTGTGTTGTACAAAACCATGTGAAAATTTCATTAGCATTGTAAATGAAATTTGATTATCATGATTACTAGACTGCGGCTTTTCATGCAAATTCATATTTTCATACATGTAGATAGAAAATTCTCTTACCTATTTATAGAAAGCACTTTACTTTGAAAATTTTATATATTTTTCCATATTATGTGCCTTCTGTACGATTTTACAGTTTCAAATTTCCCATAAATGCATAGAAATCCGCAAGCTATTAATTACATTGACCAAGTTTGAAGCAGATCTTCGATGTAATGTATTCGTGAAAAGTTTCCACAAGTGGTGCAATACTCTCATGAGCTTATAGTTTAGAGTACCTACTGTAACCAGTGGTGAGTTTAGTCGCGTTGATGAGAAGATTCCTCGGCGTCTCCACCGCGGTGTTAACTAAAACAATAAAAAGGTCCAGAGATTAGTTTTTATTTTTTTTTAATAATTACACTTACAAGAGCACTGATAGTCATAATAAAGCGATTTAGCAGAGGATGGAGATTGATGGTGATGCAGAAAGTATTCTTGTGAAAAATAGAAACTGGTAATGAATACCCATATCGAATTAGGAAGGTCAAATTCTACGGTAAAAAGTTGATTTCATTGGCTTTACAGGGAAAATAGGCCTGAGGGTTATCAACGTGCTCTGGAATTGCAATTATGGTTGCTGGCTGATGCGGTATTTTCTATGAGGTATTGCCCAAGCAGTGGTACTACCAAATTATCAGAAAATTGATGTTAGCCAAAGCAAGGATATATTTCAGAAGAAGCTCTTGAGATTTTTGCAACCGGTTGTTATCGCAATTGAACGATGTTGTTAGCAACTGAGACTCGCATTAGGCTTGTCCATTAAAAACGCTATTGCAGTCATGCTGCAATACTAGCTTTCTTATAGAGGCAACTTTCCAAGCTTCATTCCATTTTCATGATAATATCCTTGGACTAATTGTTGGCTATTACAAATCCAATTAACATTGAACTCAACTTTAACTGAATTTCGAGTAAACATTAATTTAACGTGAATACAAATTTTGTGGTGAAAATATTAATATTGAATTGTTCCGAAATAAATATTAATAATGAAATGGAAATATAGCTGATGGAATAATTTGGAAACTATGACTGAGAGAACTGTTTGGATGAAAGTGTCACATACTGTAATTAGAGGCCGTGTCCGTAACGCGGTGTATCAATTCTTTCTGTCGTTGCAAAAGTCCTGACACTGCAACAAACGAGTAAACGCAAAGTTTCCAGTGAAACACAACTCCTTTCCCTGACGAACGATCAACAAACGGTCGATTGGTCGTAAATTCAGCGTAGGTGCTTCTCATTTTCACGAGTGTACTTGTGACATTTGAACAAGGGTCAAACCGAGTTATTAACCACGATAATGGCTTCCAAATGAAAACTAATGTATGCAGTAGTGAATGATGAAGATTGAGTAACTGAACTCGGAAAATTAAAATACAGTAATAATACAGTAAGTTGAAGTATTTATATATAACAGCAACTGATAAATTTAATTTTAAAAAATCTAAACAATTTCTAGAAATAATA